ATATATATATAATCTCCAATCGATTCTCATGAGGAACTATGATTATGATGTCACAAATGATATATATTTTTTATAATCAATATAATTAATTTTATTAAAGTCCCTCATTAATCAACTTATTTTGTAGATTATTACCACATTCAATAGCATCATCAAGTGACGAAATAGCACTTTTTGTTGGTGATCTTCAGAAAGGTAGAAGAAAAGATTATGAACCAACAATAGAACATTATGAAGACTTGTTACGTAATTGCAACTGTACAAAAATAAAGACTATAATACCAATGAACCAAGTGAAAACTGAATATGATCAATATGAATTAAAGAGAAAGCTTGTTGGTAGCTATGATCATTTCCTTGTAGATGGAAAAATAGCTGGTCATTTATCTCATTTATTAGGAAAAGAATTTTACAAGAAAAGGAAATTACCGACATCCATCAGAATGTACAGTAAAGATTTAAAACATGAAATAGATTATGCTTTAAGGAAAACTGCCATGCAGATACATTCTTGTGGTGATACTCATATAGTTCAAATTGGACATACTTCTATGGAGAGGAAACAGATTCTACAAAATATACTAGCAACATGCAGTTATCTATCTAAAAATTATCCAGGGGGTTGGACTAATATTCGTTCTATTCGTATTAAGACATCTTCTAGTCTCAGCCTTCCTATATATACAACATTAAGTAAGTTGTAATCAAGTACATTCAGCTTTAATTTTTGTTGGAAAATTCTCATAAAAATATTTTTTTACATACACATATATGTAACATGAGTTTTTTGTTTCTTTTAGAAAATAAATGTGTGGTTAAAGTGCCAATAGTCCAACCTAAAAGACCAAAAGCATATCATAATGTGTCAGGAGAACTTACTACTGTAAAGAATATTGCTAGCGTGACTGTCACTCCTGAAGGAGACATATGTATTGAAAATAAAAAGATTCTTCCTTATAAATAAAATTAATAAAACAAATAAAAAATTGTAATTATTTTTTTATTACTTCATTAAATCTAGTAAACAAAGTTAAAAAATTATCTTCTACTTATTATTACCTTAAACGTTATATTTAAAATTTTTAATTATTGCACTTCAAATTTTATATACCTAATGTATATATGTTGTATTGTGTTTAAATATTTGCTTTCTTCATTTCATTACATGTGAAAAGAAGAAAAACAATGTATAATGTCAGTAATTAGTATAAAATAGTTTGATCTTTCTTAGAAATACTTTGGTACCCATTTGCTGGATTTGCTATTATTCCTGAATGTCCCATTGTTGGAATACCATTTGTATTTTGCATATATTTATATGTGTTTGCAGCATTTGTAATAACTTCTATTTCTTGAAAGTTTTGAAGTCGTTGAATATCCTCATCTTTCCTCAACCTAGTGTTGGGCAGTTTTCTTAATTTTACAATTTGATTGGGATCAACATTTAATTCTTGACAACATATCCGAATCAATGCTTGATATGTTAAGTCATTTTGTGGGAGTTCAATTTCTATAAAATCTGGGTCAGAGGCATCAGCAATGCGAATTTTTAATACTAATTCTAAAATATAAAAATAGAAATAATGTTTAGTTCCATTATGTTGACCTATTCACATATAAAAATTACTATTAAGTTCTTACCATCTTGGTATAAACCATTATTTCTTATTCTAGGAATTCCTGAATCTACACTTCCATGCACATAATCACTTTTTATATATTTAGGCATGACATTATGTACTGCTAGCTCATTTAAAACTCTTGGAGAATCATTTGGTATAGCTAGAGGCATGTCTAGAAGTTGCAAAATTTGTGGATTGTTACACAGAAATGCTGGAGTTTCTCCAATATCAGATCTTATATTCTTGTCTGCACCATTCTTTAAAAGCAAGGCAGCTACATCTAAGTATCCTTTTTTACATGCCCAATGTAAAGCAGTCCTTAAGAAATATTAATTATGTTATTATTTTAACATTTTTGATACAAAGCTACTTAAGTCTATTACACATATACAAGAAAAGGCATTGTATGTTTTAGTCTTATTATACATTTTGCAACAAACGCAAAAAATATAGACGATACATAATAAATTAAGGAAAAAGTACCATCCATTATAAGACTGTCGTGCATTAACATCGACGCCTAAATTAAGTAATTCCTGAACAACGTCTGTATCACCAACACAAGCTGCTTTTCTCAGTCGCTCCTCCAATACTGTCTTATTTTCCATGTTATCATAACTCCGAAATAAATCTACGGATTTCACATTTTTTTCCATTTCGGGTTTATCTAGGACATTTTGAAATGTACAAGGAGTAGCTTTGCTTAATACAAGTCTTCGAGCGATTCAAACTGAATTGCTATCTAAGCGCCACGGGTGGTGATTTAGAAGAATCTTACAGTGACATCAGACAAGTTGAACATTACAAATTTTTTCATACTTTATATTTTTTCTACAAAGATTAAAACCTTTAAATTTAAAGTACTAGATGGAATTTTTCTTTTGTAGCAAATAGCGATTATTTAAAAGAAAGGTAAAGATAAGAAAAAAAGGAAGACAAGAAAAATAATTAGTAACATAATGCAATATATTTCTCAGAATATAATTTTTTATAAAATACTTGAAAAAAAGAATTTTATTCTCTGTTTTTATTCAACAGTTTATTATATCTTGTTAGAAATCTTAAATTTTTTATTAGTAAAATTATCAATAGAAATTCTTGCAATTTTTTATCAAATCGTCAAGCCTTTTAAAATTTATCTATTTATTTATTTGATTTGATTTGATTGACTAACACAAAATTAAGTATTAGTTTAGTGTTTAATTTTTTACTAACTGAAATAGTACTAAATAATATTTGTATTATTATAAATAATAGGAATTTTTTTCAATTGACAGCGTTTTTTTAGTGACGTTTTAACATAGGAAAATTTCACATTGTCAAATTTATGTACATTATTTGCCGATGAATATTTAAGTCTGAATGTCGCTATAATTCAGAGAAATCAATTCCAGTTGAAGTTTACGCCACCTGGAAACAGATATTGTATCAGAATAATTATCCACTAGCTAACATCTACATAGTCTATCGCCATTTTAGAATAAAAATTTGTTTTAACAGTAATTGACATTTGTTAGCTTCGTTGTTATTTATATTATTATTTTTTCAAGATAAAATCACGTTCTAAGTAATAAATTAGAAAAATGGGCGAAGATTACAATGGAGGTGAGTAATATGAGAATCTTTTTAGAGATCTTCGTCAAGTATACTGTGCTTTTCGTCATTGTTCCCGCGTTACAGTCAGGTAAATAAGTCGGGTGATCGTAATGGCCGAAGATCTCGTAAGAATAGTAAACATATCTTGAAGCGTTTTCATTCAATATTCCGCTTAAAAGAACCTCAATTATCAAACGTTCATTTAATTTCATTGTGGATAGAATAACAATCAAGTATTTTTTGCAAAATCGCGTGAGTTTATCAGTAACCTGAAAATAAGCATCCACGAAGATCATTCTTATGGGTACATTTTTCATTATATGTGACATTGTGTTACTTTAATAATTATACATTATTTCGTACATTGCTTATTTTTTTTTTTGCATTAGGAAAATAATTAATTTTTAGAATTGAAATTTTGATCATTAAGATGTAGTTAATAATCATATATAACATATATATGTATATTATACATTAAATATGCAGATAATAATTCACATACATACACATATTTTCTACTTTTCGGATAATTTGTAAGTGAATTTGCAAGAAAAAAAAAGTTATATAAAGTTTGTAAAAGTTATATAAAGTTATTTGTTTGTAATTGCTTTGCTATAGATAAATATTAAATGTACATGAATATGTCTATATGAACAAATATTCCTTGATGTGTTAGGATTGTTGAAAATGTCTTTTCAAAAATCCTTTCAAAATGACTCAATAAATTCCATATTGATACAAGCTGGTCAATATGAAATTTATTTCATTCTGAGCTTCTTGAGAATTTTTCTTCATTTCAGCAATTGAATTTATTAATTCTTATGTATATCTGTATTGTATATTATGTATATCTGTATGTATATTATATTTATATCTATATTGTATATTTTTTGTTTTTTGTTCCCTTTAAGTAGAAATCAAATGTAAAACTTCAAATCTGCTGTTAAAGAACAGATGATGATCAATATTTGTCTATAAAATATTAAATAAAATAATAAAAAAAAAATACATTAAAGAATTTTAGAAGATTCATATTTTATACATTAATGATTATATAAATAGCTTTTAGTATTTATAATGACAATTTGAAGTCAATATTTATATGTATTTATGTACATCTAAATTTTAGATCGAGACCGCCAGGACCGTGAGAAAGATAGGGACAGGGATAGAGATCGTGATAGAAGACACAGATCTCGTAGTAGAGATCGTAGAAAACGTTCTCGCTCACGTTCTAAAGATAGAAGAGATAGAAAAAGAAGTAGCTCACCTAAAAAAAGTCGCAGTTCTAGAAGGAGAAAACCATCTCTTTATTGGGATGTTCCACCACCTGGATTTGAACATATTACTCCTTTGCAGGTAATACATGAAATTTGATTAAATTTGCGGTAAAAGTAAATTAGATTTTTTACTGATTTCTATTTAATTGTAATTTGAATTATAACAGTATAAAGCTATGCAAGCTGCAGGACAAATACCTGCAAATATTGTGGCAGATACACCACAAGCGGCTGTACCAGTTGTTGGTAGTACAATAACCCGCCAAGCAAGGAGATTGTATGTAGGGAACATTCCATTTGGCGTGACTGAAGAAGAAATGATGGAGTTCTTTAATCAACAAATGCATCTATCTGGTCTTGCTCAAGCTGCTGGAAATCCAGTATTAGCGTGTCAGATCAATTTAGATAAAAACTTTGCTTTCTTAGAGGTACAACAAAATTTACTTGAAAATACAGTTTTGTAATTTATAATTTTTATAATTTTACGACAAAACATTCACGAAATTTCTTTTAGTTCCGTTCGATAGATGAAACAACACAGGCTATGGCATTTGATGGTATTAATTTCAAAGGGCAAAGTTTAAAAATAAGAAGACCACATGATTATCAACCAATGCCAGGAATGACTGATAATCCAAGTATGAACGTGCCAGGTACGGTTCCCGGTATGTTTTATACATACTCCTCATATTTCTATGTATACTTTACTTAAAAATTTATTTTTAATATTATATAAAACATAATGTAATTTTTGGATTTTTAGATTCCCCTCACAAGATCTTCATTGGTGGTTTACCCAATTACTTGAATGAGGAACAGGTATGCAAACAAGTCTATGACACAGTTTTGTTAATTGCACACCTTTGGAAGCAGTTCTTATTCACTGATGTCTATACACATTAAAATCTATTTCGTATTCGATATTTTTTATAAAAACCGTAGTAAATATTATGAAGCATATATTCAAATGGCATCAGAGATTAAAACAACTGCCTCGCTGTATAACAATGCTGCAGAATTACTTTGAACATATGCTAATTCTCAGCATTGTGAGTTATACCAAAGGATTAAATTATTACATAGGTATTTAGCTATTTAGCGGAGATCAAACATACGAAGATGTTCCTCTACTCAAATGCCATAGAGGTATGTATGTGTATTCATTGGATTCCAGCGTCGATTAGGTTTTATTTAGTTAGGTGGCTTGGATCTTAATTCCAATTGTGTGTTTGGTCAAGTCTAAAAGGGCAATGTAGAATTTCGTCTTTCGCATTTCTTCTCGAAGCGTCATAATTAGATAGTGGATAGGAAATTGGTTAGAGGCGTTGCAGCATTCAGATGGCATGCAGTCGCAGCAGTCGCATTTCTTTTACAGTCCTTTTAGGAACATCGTGGACCCAGCCAAGGGGATACGAAATTTTTCAATAAGTGGCTGAAAAAGCAAGGGGTAGGAGGGGAGAAGAGGAATAGTTATACTCAAAACAATCATGCAAAATTGTTAGGTGATAAACTCTTCGAAAGTAAAGATTCTTCATATTTTTACATCTGAAACCTCTTACAGAATGAATCTGTTTTCATGCAGTGGTATTACATACAAAAAGATTTTTTAGGACTACAACAGACAAACCAATCAATTTTATCTAGTACATCAGCTTTTTTTGTTTTTTGTCTTGATGGGATTACAGGGTCAACACATAATTTTATGTGCATCTGGTAACAGCTCCAAGTCTTTTGGCACCTATATTTTTCAGGAGTGTCTTTTCTCTTGCAGCTGTTTTCTTTACAGGCTTTTACAGGCTTTACAGCTCTTCGTCCTTGTGCCTTGTCACGTTTACAGGTTACGCGAATGAACTTACGTGTTCAAGTATCAGTAATGTGCATTAATACAAAGACAAAGTGCAAAGAGAAAGTAAGAAAAATAAAAGTCGGTACATGTGAACTTTAAACGCCGGAAAAAGTTAATACTGTGTTATTAAAGTGGTACATTGTTGGAATAATACAATCAAAAAAATATAACCATTTGGTTATTATATAGTAACTGTGGACTGATACCAGTGCCCTTTCTCCCCATTTCTTAGCTTAGGGTTGCGCCGATCAAAAGCATTTGCTTACCACTACCACTACTTCTACCACTACTTCTACCACTACTACTACTACTGAACATGACAAAATACCACACTGCCTGGAGAGAGGCTAGCCCAGTCCCTCGAGGCAAGTACTTATATCATTTTCATGCCTTCGTATTGGGCTTATGCGATTTTTGCAGCCCTTTCAGAAGATCTCGGTTCTTCTAAACAAATGGTGCGTTTTCTAATTGGATAGTTTTTTTTATTGATAATAGCGTGTTGCTTACTCACGAAAGGATTAATAATATAATAGGTAACACTGACTGATATATAATATTCCTCAAGGATTTTAAGTAGGAAGTTTTCTTCTCATTATTTCTATCCTTACTTAAAATAATAGTAATTTAACCTTCTAAATAATAAGAATATCCAAATATATGCATCTGATAGTTAATACCATATAATACTAAAATGAGTATGGTATAATATCACGTAACATCTCAGACAACATACATATGTGAGATTACATTTATATATTTTGATGATATGAGTTGAAGAGTTTATAAACATAAAGTTGTGTATGTCACAACTACTTCGGAGTTTTGACTCCTAACAATGAAGATAAACAAGTTTTCATTAAATGCAACATGCTGTTATCTTTGCCTCAGAGTTTTCAGTTACTTCTTGGGAATGGAAAGATGTAAGTAACTTTAAGGTACATGTTTTTTTGAAGAGAGAATTAAAATAAACGTGAGGGAAATCCACGTTTGAAGAGCAAGAGTATTCTGATCAAAACGTTGACAAAGATCTGTTCCAGACTGGAGTAAAACTTTTGTATGTAAGAAAGATATTAAGTGAAGATATATGGAATTCGAGTAGGCGAGATATAATATGCAATTATAGTAAATTTATTATTTTTGGATTATGCAACTTTCATATTAGTTTCACGTTAAAATTCGAAACTTACATTTCAAAATTATTTTTAAGTTTCAAATCAGACTTAATATTAATGATTTTTTAATTTGATTATAAATGAATTATTGATATATAAAATAAATTTTATACTTTAATTTTAAGAAATAAAACAAAGTATGTAGTAATATTTAACAGGTTCGCTTGCGTATCTCCTAGTTGTATTCGAAATTTTATAAAATATGTGCAAGTTGCATGTTAGGAATCTGTTTATAAACCGCAACAATTATATTAGCCTGATTACAGAAATTATTGTATTATTGTTGATTTATAATCAAGTCACATAATTTTGTTTTATTTTTCTTTTATCCGTATTTTATACCTATTCATATTATTTATGTATATCATATTTTTATTTATAATTGCAAAATCTTTATATTCCTGAAAATATAGTTGTGACACACTAACAAAAAGCATAATATTGATGATGATGATTGTAGTCTTACATTTTTATGAACAATTAATCTAGTACAGCTTCTGCTGGTCGAAATATGTTTAAAACTAACTGGATCCTAAATTTTCGATGCGCAGCGAACGTGTTCAATTATTATACAATGGTCCTCACGTAACTGACCACACTTTGGATCTCGTTTAGACTAGCGTTTATCCCCACCAATTCTTGGAATTGGGACTATTCCCACCCTATGCTACGGTGCGGCCGCGTCAAACATTTGCACACACAAAACAAGCGATACATATGATACCGATATTGATGCCTGATATCGATGAAACAGTTAACACCCATTCTCACTCTTTCTTTCGATGCCAATTCCTGGAATACACCTCACGCTTAACTAGTTTCGGCCCCGATTGTTAGTCTGTTGCGTGGGGACTACTGTATTTGTTACATAACAATTGGAAATATTTATATTTATTATATTGAGAAGTGTAATAGAATTAAAAGTTGCATAATCTATATGAATTTGAATTATATTGATATTGCATGACTAAATAAATAATGTCATTTTTACAATACAGGTGAAGGAGTTACTGATGAGCTTTGGACAATTGAGAGCATTCAATCTAGTAAAGGATTCAGCTACAGGCCTATCCAAGGGTTATGCATTCTGCGAGTATGTTGACGTGTCAATGACTGACCAAGCGATTGCTGGATTAAATGGAATGCAATTGGGAGATAAGAAGCTAATCGTTCAACGGGCTAGCGTTGGTGCCAAGAACCCTATGATTGGTGCACAAGCTCCTGTTCAAATTCAGGTGCCTGGATTATCAATGGTGGGCACAAGTGGACCAGCTACTGAGGTAGGATCATTTGAGTTGTGGTTTCTTATTTTTACTTTTTTATTATATTTGCATTAAGTTATAATTTTTTAATAACATATCATAAAGTATTGCATTACATTTAATTAAAATATGTTATTATGCATATGTAGGTTCTCTGCTTGCTAAATATGGTAACTCCTGAAGAATTAATGGAAGAGGAGGAATATGAAGATATTTTAGAAGACATCAAAGAAGAGTGTAATAAATATGGTGTGGTTCGATCTGTGGAAATACCCAGACCCATAGAAGGTGTCGATGTACCCGGATGTGGGAAAGTATGTTTTTTTAATAGATTAAAATATTAGTTTATTTTAATTAACTACTATTAAATACTAATAAATTTTTTAATATTCCAGGTATTTGTCGAATTTAATAGTGTGATTGACTGTCAGAAAGCGCAGCAGACTCTTACAGGACGAAAATTTAATAATCGGGTTGTTGTAACATCATATTTTGACCCTGATAAGTATCATCGCAGAGAATTTTAAAATATAGATTTTCTTTTTTTCATATCGATTAATAATTGCCTCCAGTGTATAATAATCAAATATGAATAATCTTGTCAACAAATCTAAAAATGATCAATTCTCTTCTATCAGAATGTAAAAAATGAAATGTAATTGATTTTCGATCATACTGTGCATTAAATGATAATTGTTGTAATTTCAATAACATAACCATATATAAATAAACTATAATTTATAAAATTGCTAATAAGAAAAAAAAATGGTACGAAGGTAATCGTACAAATAGGGACATCATTTTTTTCGTTAATCAGTAGTATGGTGAAGTAATAAACTATTGTTAAAGGCAGAATTATATGAAAATAAATAATAAATTGTCACACTATGTGTGTGCGTTTATATAAAATTTTCTCTATAAAAGTTTTTTAATATGATTTATATTTATAATAAATTTTATGGATATTTGATATTTAAGCTTTAATTTAAACTGAAGTTTTGATATCTAAACTAGCGTCAGTTTGCAATGCAGGTTGATACGATGCATGGCTTTCTCCAGTATCAGCATTATCAACTACAAATTTTTGTAATAGAGTATAGAGCCCACCGCCAGCAAGTAGCATACTAATTCCTATCAAAACTACTATGGACCATGCTGGTATTGCGGTACCCCCTAAAAATTTAATATATTTAATTATTATACGTGTTATCTTTTTTTTATTTTTATACTTTTTACTTACAGTAATAACGTCTAGTAATTGTTTTTCGACCTTTCAAAATTTTACGTCTCGCTTCAACTCCATCCATGAAAACTCCCATGATTACTATATTTGAAATTAATAAATTATAAAAAATCGTGATACGTGACTATTTGATTACGGCATATTTGTTGAAAATTACGTTTTCAATAATGTGCGATAATATATTTAATTTATACTTTTCATTTATTTCAATTTTGCATTTTTTGTATACAATGATTTAAAACTAAAAATTTTGCACATTTTGTAAATATGTACACTGTTAGTAATATTATCAAGATAAAATTTTGGAATTGATATAATTTGCAAAGTTTAATTAAAATTTTAAGAATCACTATTATTCTTGGATTTTCTTCAATCAGTAATAAAGAGAATAGTTGACGCTATAATTGATATATAATTTAATGTATACTTACGTAAGCCAATAGCAATATAACACAATAACTTTTTGGAACACATTTTTTATTTTACCAGAGTTATACGTTAGAGAGTATATAATTAAAAAACACCTGTAGATGAAATAAATACGTGAATAATGCTCGAGTCGCGTTAGACGTGAGGATATGGTTACGAATGTGTGAATCAGCGCTTTGATAAGATACTTGATAACAAATGGAAACTCATCTTATCTTGTTTTTTCAAAAGATAAAAAAAAATTTTTTATATGGACACACATGAAAGCACTAAACAAATTATCTTTGTTAATTGGTATTTTCATTTTATCAATTATTTGTTTATGAGCAGTGTATGAAGTATCATATACTGAGCAAGTATTAAACAAGTAACTTAATTATTTCAGTGTTAAATATTTAGTATCTCTTTAAATCTAATTAAAATTTACTTAATTCCTTTTTTATGAACGTAGGTAAAAAAATAAAGAAAAGTAAATCATACATAATTATTTAAATAAATATGAAAAACAACTTGGTTTAAATAATATAAATTTATATAAGTATAATAACGTATATACAAGTTTGTATAAAATACTTCATCCGAATTGTACACTACTGATTTAAGACAATTTAATATTAAAATTCTATTTTTTTGTGTATTTTACTTGACATTGAATAATCGTCTAAAGAAATGTGGAAATCCATAATGTAGTTGGAATTTGACGGTTCGGATATAAAGCAGATTATCGGGAGTGCAGGTCGAAGATTCAGGTGAGTATGGGTAGGATCTATATGAAACAGAAAAGATTTATAGTCAATTAATATTTTTTAATCGCTCATACTGATTTTTTATTAAATAAAAATCAAGGAAACCAAGTTACAAGTGACAACTCATTACATAATCGTTGTAATATTAGATCGGTCGATACCAACGAGAAAGGATCCTCAATTAAATATCAAATGAAATATCCCTTTCTAACACACGAAAAAAATGTAGTTATTTCAATAAAAAAATTTAATTTAATATTTTATTTAATTGGTCACTAATCCTTTGAAATATTTTTATTTGAATTAAATATACAAATATATTTTAAGTAACCTTTAAAATAGCTGCTACGTATACTTACAAACTAATATCGTAAAATAAATCGATGGCTTAGTATGCTTCAAGTAATGTTTCAAAGGATTATGCGAATCAATTAAAAAAGCAGCATTTAAAATGTTGATATCGATGTTTTGTATTCTGACTCAAATAATTATTAATAAATATATTGCATCTGTTGTTTTTTTTTCATACAACATTAAAGTAATTTACGGCGAAAATAAAGCTCTATGCAACTTACGAATATAATTACCATCATAATGTAAATAGAAATAGCTGGCACATATACAAGGCTTTCCAAAACATCACGTTTCACAATAACAAGCTCTTCTCTGCCTTAAACGGCAATACTCGCATTGTTTCTTCCCCTCTTCATCTAGTTTAACTATCATTTTTATTTAATACATTCTCTCTTTCTCCTTTTCTTTTTTTTCCTAGAAACTGTAGTTTCCCTGGTATAATTGCGATTTTTTCCCTTTCATTTTTTTTGTTTATGTATTCAGCACCATATGATTTCGAGGAAACGTTCACGCAAGCACACGCTCTTTTTTTTGTTTACCTTTCTATCTCTGTACCCGCGTCGTGTGTACACTGTTGGCGCAAGAATTCCAAAGTCGCCGCACTTTATGGCAATTGCTTGACGACACTGCAATATGGTCGAAGAATATCAAATCTGCTGATTTACTGCAGAAGAGATACACTTCGACATGTACAGTATTACGTGATCTTACGTTCATTATTAACACGCAAATTCTACACGCGTTACTACATGTATACTTGATAGATATTCAACGAAAGGAACAAATCGTCCGATAATGGAAATAACATGCAGATAAAACGTATATGGTGTATACACGTTAAGTTGTTAATTTTTTTCCCCAAAGCTGACTACATCTCGGCGCGAGTGCGGAACGTGAATTTGTGCATTAATGTTTCTTAAGTCGCGCACATACTGTACATATCCGGTACCATAAAAACTTCACAAATAATAGAATAAAAGAATAAAAGATCAATGCAATCTCAATTTGCATTTATATTCACGGATAATTAATAGGATTAAATATCACCTAGTACAAATTTTCACATTATTTATTAACATAAATATAAGCATATAAATAAAACAAAAAAAAATGCAATGTATAAATGTAACTTATACTTAGAAATGTATAAATTTTATAGAAAATAAGCTGTTTTTGAAAAAAAGTTTTAATGGAATTCTATTCTTTGAACAAAATAATTTGATTATTATTAGATTGATTATACATATATTTCCAAATTTTAATTTGAAAAATAAGTAAAATGTAATAATATGTAACAATGAAACGATCATGTAATATACCAAGTAAAAGAAAATAAAGACATGTTATTCTTAATATCATTAATCGTTCTTCGATTATTTCGTTGCATGCAAATACATTTCTTCAGAATGCATAATCCAATTTCACATGTATTAAGTTTCATATTCTTGGTTGTACGCATTCATTTTATAATTTACAGAAACATTACTCTCCCGTAATAAACAAGTACATTCTATACATTATACCGGAGAAGTGTAGAATTAAACAAAAAAGAAAAATAAATACAAATAATACTGTAAAACGCTTGTGTTGCATTGTAAGTACCCCGCAACTATTCGTGATAATACTAAGTACTTATGACATGTCAAAACAAAAATGAAGAATATACAAAGATAATTTTTTCCTAAATCTAAATAAATCATCGATAATGAAAATTGAAATGACCATAGATAATAGAATGTCTAATAATTTTCTATAATTTATATGCTACGTTAGAAGGTCTATAACATTGGATATTAATTGTCATAGGTTTTTCATCTAAATATGAATTTTTGTGCCTAAGCTACAACCTATTTGCAATCAAAATCATGTTGTAATTTCATTTGAAATATTGTATCATTGGATGGCATAATGATTTTTAAGATACTTGGAGAATAATGAGAATTTTTATAAGGTCAGTGACGTTATTACTTGAAGTGTACTCATTCAAATGCATTTAGAATTAATAACTATTATTATCGTGTTCCTTAAACTCTATTGCGAAGTGTTTTTTCATGTTGGCTCAACGTATTGCTACCAGTTACTTTATTTCTTCATTTCAATTTTTATCACCTTTTATAAAGTGACAATATTTTCTCGCTTATACAATATCGAGATTAGTTAGTTTCACCCTTCTTATTTCTTTCTTTTAATAATTCAGTCAAGTTATTACTGCGTCTTCTATTTTCATTATAGAATTACAGAACTAAATGCATATATGGTATCCAGTGGCCAAATATTAATTTTATATCAGTAAATATTATAATATTATATATTATATATAATATATATATATTTTTATTATTATATATTCTATATAACATCATAAATTATTAATTAAGTTGTGTAATATGTCTCAGAAATTTACGAAATTGTATACAAGAACAAGATCTTATTTGCTCGTACGTGCCTATATGATCGTATTTAACGTTACTATGTGGTTACTCTATAGTAACATATATCTCTAGCTGCGGAGCAACGACAGCGGCGTTTCTGTTAAAAGTTATCGCTTGTTAGTAGTGGTGTTCATATTAATAAATAGATACCGCGAACATCATTGAACATATCTTTAATATATTGATAATAAATTAATTGAATGTATTACCGAATAATCGTGTATCTTTTACGAACTAAATTTTTAGGTTTAAATTTAGGTTTACCTTGTGGCTAGCTGATAGTATGATCCAATGTAGTTTTTTTCGTTTCGCTCAGCGATGCAGAAGAAATACTCGAGGAAGATGAAACACGGTCTTTTGATAGACTATTTTTTGGAGTTAATTTACAACTTCCTTCACTGTTCTTTTTTTTACTGTCGTATTCCACTGCATTACTGTCAGCAGTTTTACTTATTTCATGAGCTTCACTTTTCGTTTGTTCTTTGCTATTTTCCCAAGCATGTACATCGTTATTCCTTTCTATAATACCTTCTTTGATCAGTACTTCATTGAATGTAGCTAAAGTTTTACGGAGTGTTATACAGAAACCTCTAGATGCTGGTATCAATGGAAATTCTGGTAAAATTTTATTATCTAGATAAAAGAAGGATTTAAAAGTTATTAAATTCATATTTTTACAAGTTAATGAAAAGAAAAATTATAACATACCGACATCAGATATTTGTTTAAAAGTAGTAGGTGTTACTGGAGATAACGGATGTTGATTATTATGCTGTTCAGAAATTTCCATCCATAACTCTAAACGTTGTAATAATTTTTTTGCATATCTCTTGAAATGTTCAATAATAATATCTTTAAATACAAGTGGTGGATGTTGTAATAATTTAGTTTGTGCTTGAACTAATTTCAGTACGACCATTTCATTGTACATTCTTGAATTTTCTTTTCCTTGTTGAGAGCCCTTTTGTTTATCAAAACCAGCTTCATTAAAATATGGTTCGGGTACGAGAATAAGGCCTTGAATTGAGACTATAACTTGCAACAGAGTTGAAGAACTTGTCCATACTTCCGTTCCTCGACCAGACCACGTTCCGAGTAAGCTTACACATACTTTACCATCCTCGTATAGATTCGGATTCAACCTATCATTACAGTAAGAAATATAATGGCAAAGTGGCGGAGCAGCAGGATAATCGGCAGATAATTGAAAATCAAAAAGAAAAAGACCATCTTCGTATGGTGTTTTCTCAGGTCCACGAAACATTACGGAATATAAATCTATTCTATCTTCAAATCCTTTTACCCATATACCGGGTGGAAGTGAACTTTTTAAGAGTTTTAATTCCTTGGAAACAGTTCTGAAAAAGTTTGTAGGATCTGTAGGTTGAAACATTGTTAATTTAAATTTATGACTATCTGGAGCTGTCTCTTCTATAGAAAATCCTTCTCCTTCTGCATATATTGGCGGTGGAATTTCTATGGAATATTCTGACGATTCCTGTAATAATTCTATACGTTTTTCTTCTTCTTTCTTTTGTTTTTTCAAAGGTGACGATCCTTTTTCGGCATCAGACAATGACATCTTTGATAATCCAAATCGTCTAGAAACTTCCGCGTGCGCCAGTACAAGCTGCGCTTTTATTAAAGTACATAATTTAACGCAAACTTGAGAACTAGCTACATGAGAACTTGTTATGTGCATCTGAGTCTTGGAAGTTTTATTCATTTCTGGTTTTTCTATCGAACGATCAGGTACGTTATTCACATCCTCGCTAAGCAGAAATTCCCCGCTTGACTCGCTAGAACCAGATTCTTTCTTCGAATTTTCTGCAGAATACAATCCAGAATCTTCAGGATTAGGATTAACATTAATAAATAAACGATCAATTGATTCTTCACCTTTTACATCTTGTTTATTGGCAACTTCGTCGTTTTTATCATCAACAGGTTCTGTCATATCCGTCACAGTGGTAATGATCTTTTCACAAGGATTACTTCCTGATTGTACATTGCTGGAATTTTCTATATTTTCTTCTGATCCATCGGATTTTTGTGTAAACAATCTTGTTACTTGATCTGCCATACGTTGTGCTACGTTTGCACGACCACGTTCTCGAACTCTTTCCAAAAGTCCTTGAAAATGACACTCATGGAAAAAAGAGGTACCCATAAGTTTATCCATGTATCGACAATCTTTATAAACTTCTAATAATTTTCTCATAACTTCAGTTGTTTGAAGTGAGGGATTTTGAGTGAAAATCTCTTCGAGTCTAGACATTGCAATACGAGCTTTCTCAATGTGTGCGGCTAGTTTTGGCTTTATATTTTCTAGTTCTGTTTGTTCTGTACCGTCGGTATCTGCGATAAACCAGTCTTCCAATTCCGTTTCCCATGACGCGTCAGAGGATACATCGTCCCACAGTTCGCCTTCATCACTATCATATTCACCTACTTTATACAAATCTTGAGGCCAACACATACTTACATGTCCATCAACCCACCACACTTTAACTCGTCCTTCGGGATAATTATCTAACACTTGACCAGCAGTACAACCAGCATCTTCTCCTTCAAAATTAGCTATTCGAATTACTAATGTACCTGGTCTATATTGAAAGTCTGGATGATCTTTTAAATCGTATACACTGACTTCACGTTCTTCTAGCAAAGTTGGTCTAACAAATATTTATCGAGTTTAATATATTTTTTAAATAGACATCATTGATTACGACTAAAAATATAAATATACCTACTGTGGACTTTGACTAGAAGTATACGTTTTAAACCACTTTATTTTGGCTGTTCTACCTTGATGGTCAACACTTTGAACTACGCCATACATTCTAGATTCTTCCTTTTGATCAACTACAAAATCACCTGGGAAGAATTCTTTATCATCTAAGTGATGAATTGGATAAAGTTGCGTAGATGGAATACCTTAAAATAGAAATAGAAATTATACAAATTTCATGTTACAGAAACATAATACATAAAAGCTAAAATAATTATTTATAAAATTTACCAAATTCTACTGAACCATCTTGCCATACAACATTAGCTTTTGTACTCGTAGATAATGTTTCTACAACAATTTTAGTTCCTGGAATCAATGGAACTGGTGGAAGTTTTTTCTTTGCTTTACATAACTTTTTTTTCTTCAGTACCTTCGTCATTAAAGCTGGGCTTTTTTTCTTTTTACCCATAGATGACATACTGGAACATCCACTAGATACCTGTAAATATTAAAATAAAATATTAATGTCTTACGGTTATCATTAATTGGATAATAATTTAAAAAATTAATAGAAAATCTTACTGAAGCACTATCACTCTGTGATCCAGTATCTTCTGTATCCCAATCATCTGAACTCTCATTTTGGTTTTGTACTGGAGGCATTAGAGTATTATTGCTTGTCATATTTTGTAAATTGTTAATGTTATTATGAGCATTCTCCTCTAATGTTTGGTGTTCGTTAACTTTATCTTTGTCCTTCTCCTTTTTCTTATTTTCAGCTGGTTTCGTTACACTGATATTTGGACGTGTTTTCTTTGGACTGTGCTTAGGAACTTGAAAAATATCTCTTTGTTGTTTTCTCCATTGTTCTCGTGTAATAACATTTTCATCATCTTTAATTATATAGAAATTTCGATCTCCCACTTGTACAGTAGATGGTTCAAAAACATTTAATAATTTTAATTTCTTTAAATTCTCTCCTTCAACTACGAATTTTGGTTGAGCTTGATCTGACCAAGCACCATCCTTTGAATATGCTCTACACTGCCAATGCACACCCACCCAATCTGTTTCTACCTTTTCTACAATTACTTTTGTCAGTTTCTGCGGTTTAGATTTCCTCTTTGCTTTCATTTCTTTTGTACATGTAATCCATTGTGCATCCTCTAGGCAGTGAACTGGTCCCCACAAACTTTGACCAGGATAAAATTCAGACGAATGAGGAAAATCATTATCCTAAAAAACGTTTATTATAGTTTTAATCAAATAACTATTTTGGATTTAACTCTTACATTGTCACGTCTCTCCTCTAATTGCCCTACAACACGAGAATCCGTTTCATTTATAACACAACGAGATCCATCGGGTGTAGTAAGCCACAATTTAAAGTTTGCCATTTTTATACCACCAACCCATGAATCCATGCAGACAGCTATGTCTGTTGCAAATTCCTATAAACAGAAACTATTAATCATCATATATAAGTTACATTGACAAGCGTAACAATTGTAAACATAGAATTACATACTTCCAAAGGAACTAAATCTTCACTCCTAATATTCGTAAGCACTTGCTTAGTACCAATCACTTGAACACAAGCAGTGAGCTCAATATCTCTACAGTATCCTCTCTGGGTATCCTTCCCTTTGATCATTCGACGTACAACATCTCCTGGCATAAGTGTTCTGTCTGCTAAATGTACCTACAAGTAAAAAAAATAAATTTTCAAAAAAAAAGCTTGCTCATCCTCGCGGTAGTAAACGGTCACAGTTATCAAGTCGGACGTGAATTCAAATTTAAATTTAACATTCAGTTGCAGATATCGTTGACGTGACAGGTGTCGCTTTTCATGAAATTAAAAACAAATACAACAAAAGGGAAAAAAATAACATGATAAAATATTAACAGCCAGCTTCAACGTGCAGCCTACTACTTTTAAGGCGATGTCCTTTCGTGTTATTAGACGTTAAATACCTTCTTCAAGCTGACCAGTTCCTCGACACCGGAGGGATGCCAGACCACGCGAATTTCGCCCTTTTTCCTTTTCGGGCTCTCCTCGCTGTCAGAACTCTCGTCGGACAAATCTTGATCGTCATTTTCCATAACGATTCCGAACACAATATTGCCTTTCTTGTCAACGCGATAGACGACATCCTCGTAAAAGTACTGACACTCTACGCCAAAGTTCGTAGCCATCTTTCCTCTAATCACTGAATATCTCGCTCCCTGCCGACGACAGCTGACAGAAGGTTACACGGCGCAACGGTTACGGCGCACGTCGCAAGCAAGGAACTTGGCTCCGACCCCGAACCCGACCCCAACCCCGACACTTAAAAATTACTGATTTTAGATGCCTCTTGATTGTTCTCGTCGATCGAGATGTTATCGACTCCCTTCAAATCGAGACTTGCCCTCAATCGTTTTCACAATCGTCATTTCAAAGCATCTGTCAAAATATACAATCTCATCCACTAGATGTTCTATTATAGTATAACATATTCGGAAAGTACGAGTTACAAGTGTGGCTACAAGTACGAAATATGTGTACGTATAACATGTATGCGCATATATGTTTAGTTAGTAAATTTATCTTGTTTGGAAACAGTTTCATACGCGATTTGAAACATGTACATATATATGTTACGTATCTGTGTATATGTAATATCGTTTGAAATAAGGAAGAGTAGGTACTTTCTACTTTGTGTAAAAAAAAAAATCGGTACATATTAACGGTATTTACACCAAATTAAAATGTGCATAAATTTTAACGAATTTATTCGATTTTTGATATATGTACAGGATTGATTGTCAGATAAATATGCATATTTATCATCAACGGTTTTTAAATGTCTTAACTACGAAAACAGCAACTTATTTAATCGAATAAATATAATTGCATTATATTTATTTGATTACACACGAATTTCATTTTATTTTAGTAAATAAAACGATCAACCTTATTTACTTTATTTATTTTTTAAGAAAACTATTCTGTTTTAATGTGATTGGACCAATTTTTATTAAGAATATTCTAAAGAATAAAATAAATAAAAAGTATAATTCGTTTGGAGCTGGACTAGATATGTGAATAAAAGTGTTTTAGGAACATATTACATAAAATTCGTTTTCATCGTCATGTTTCATTTTCATAATTTCATAGAAAATTAAACTGCGAAATGAGTACGTTGGAATCCTTGACCCAAACTTTGCAATATCGTTTGCACTTCGCTCTCATTCTCATGATAAAAGATGAATGCATCAAATTTGGTAGCTAAATTGCAATTGGTATCTCTGTAAAATAAATTAAAAGCACATTATTATTGTTAATTATTGTTACTTATACATATTAGGACAAAAAAATGTGTAAGATAGTTATCTCACCCTGCAATAAATGCAAAATAATTTGGAATGTTTCCAGAACGACCACAAGATGAGATTTCCATGTAACTCTGTTTACATATTATCTAAATATTTAAATCGAATGTATTGTTATGGCATCACAATCTTATGTATAATGAAAATTTATATTGTACATACTGTATCATCCGAGTCTTGAGTCACTCTAATTCCTAGTTCTAAACATTCAAATTTCACAGGCACTGATTTTATTTCTTCTGACTTTAGCATTTGCATAATTGCCCTTTCTATTTGTTTAACATCACCTTTTGTACCAACATATATTGAACCACAATATTTCACAGAAAATCCAGCATTTAATAGATTTTCTGGCTTCATTACTTCAATTTTTTCATCGTCCATTTCGGAATTGAATCTCTTTAAGATTTTTTTCAACCCCTCAATGCCAGAGCTTTTTATAAGATGAACAATTGGTGCATATAACTCACAGGTCTTTTTATTGCGATGCTGAAAACGCACGATGCGTTGGTACTGTGTTCTTTAATATTATATTATTTTAATAAACTTACTTTGATTACGTATAAAGACACAGGTAGACCCATAGTCTTTCTCATAAATTTACGTAACTGTCCTTTAGTATTTGATGTTATAGCATTTCCATTTATTTCATCTAATATATCTCCAATTTCAACTTTATCCTAATAAAAGTAAAAAATTAAAATACAGTTAGAATCTTCAATGAGTTTGCAATATATTTATGCAGAAATTAAAAAAATATATATGTGTATTACATCCTCTGCAGCTACAGAGTTTTTATCTAAATTAACAATTAAAGCCCTTCCTTTGGTAAAACTGTAACAATACAAAATGTTATACATAATCAATATCTATCTTTGCTAATACAAATTTCTTACCATACAGAAATACCTAAATTTTTACATGGTACTAATTCTAAAGCCAAACATTCTGGTAATTGCCAAGTCTCATCCAAAAAACTACAATTTCGTAAATCTAACTTAAAATTTAATTTACTGCTTTGCAATAATACTGATAAAAATATCTCTCCAAGAATATTATCTCCCAGAATACTGTTTCTATCATAATAATCAGTAGCCATTAATGGTGTTCTGACCTGTAAAGTATTGCAAAAAATTAAAAATTAGCACATGTTATTTAACATATAAAATACAATTTATACATACTAGCATTTCAACTGGCATATGAAGGCACTTTCGCATCAAACATGTTTTAATTAAAAGCCTGAGACGTCCAGTAGGTGTATATACTTTTGAATTTTGTTTGACTTGTTCAACTACCAAAGAATAAGTACAAGAGGAACTAAAATAATATTTAATTAATTTTTAAAACAATAAAATATTAAAACAGTAAGACATTAAAGATTTATGAATGTAAATAATTTTACTTTCTTAAAATATAATAATAGTAAAAAGCAATTTATAAGAAGTTATACATTCTCTGCAAACCTAAAATGTTTTTCTGCAATTTCTTCCATCCAATACCAAGCATCAGGTAATTTTGGAAAACTTATAGGATTTAAACGCATCAGTATACCTTTTTGGAAACATTTTTCTAAACTTTTGAAAAAGAAAAGCAGATCTTTATTTTCTTCATCAATGTCAATGTTACTTTCAGTTAATTTTCTTGTCCAACCTAAAATTATTTTTGTTTTATTTATCATGTAATATCATGTTGTCGTATTCAATGATATATAAGATCTATAATATAAAAATAAAAATATAGTAATTTTTTATGATTTATTAAACTTTTATCAAGTTGTTATACTTTATTTAGATTTCATTCATGCTTTTATTTACCAAAATAGAAAATAATAACACAAAATAATAACAATGTTTTTTAAAAAGTAATTCAATAATTTTATAAATTTCGTAAATGTTTAAAAATTTTAAAAAGAGGACATGAAATTTGGACAAATGAAAAGATTTGTACAAAAGTACATTGTACAAAAATCCTATTATTGAAGTGATTTTTTAACCTATAAAAATGTTACTTGTGAATGTTGTTCAATTACCTTTCAATTCTTTAATGAGAGGATTTGAGACCGTCATTGCATTATCAATTCAGATTATTGTCAAATATCGACAATTAGTTTACTACATAAACTTAGATGTCAATTAGAAATTCTTAACGATCAAAAGAAATGTCATTTTGATCGTGTATTATTGTTTTAAAATATGAAAGCATGCTCTTCATACGTCACTTTTACTGATTTTATTGCATTTATGATGCGCATGTTGTATGCACATATACGTGAAATGCAATGTTTGCATTGACGATAAAACGTGCATTCACATGTACGTGACTGACACATAAAGAATGCTGATTGATAACGTGTACTAATATCAATTTTACTCGTTCAAAGTATATCGAGTACGTTCGTATCTTTACTAGACTGCGGATTACATAAATTGAAATTTTTTACTATTAGTTGCAAAAGTTAGAGTTCATTGTATCTATTTTTTTACAATTTTTATACATTTTGTACGTATATTAAGTGACATTCTATGTAAATATTTTTGAAATAACTGGAAAAAATGGCAACAACTGTGCTCAATGTGAATGAAATCAAATTGAAAGCTTTAGATGTTTTTGTGAATAAATTTGGAGAGAATGCAAATATTTGTGTATGCGCACCCGGTCGCGTGAATTTAATTGGGGAGCATACTGATTACAACGAAGGTTTCGTTTTACCGATGGTAAAATTTCCGTGTCTATATTTCATAATGCAACATAATACAACTTCATTATCATTAATAAAATTATCAATTTCAGATAAAATTAAACCGTGTTATTATACAAATATTCATATTCAATATAATAAGAATAATTAAATCTTAATAAAAATAATTTTAATTATAAATTATTTAAGTCTTCATTTTTCATTAATGTATTACATATAAAAATTTAATTAGCATCAGCAACAAAAAATTTTGTTTTAATAAATAAATTTAAATAAAAAAAGAAAATAAAATTTTTTAATAGGATAAATTTTTTAAATTTGTAACAGATTTATTTTGTGAATTGTCGAGGAAAATTTTTAATCAAGCAAAGATATATTAATCATTCTTATCTCATCATATTATTATCGTAATAATCAGTTCCGTTTAATTTTATAATTTTATACTGATACGAATTATTGTTTTCTTACTGAATTTTTTACGAGATACATTTTCCATTATGTATGTATTATGTATGTATGTATGTATTATGAGAGATAAATTATTAAAGATTATTAATTTTAACAATTTTTCCTATATAAAATTTTTTTATCTTCATTTAAAATCACATTTAAAATTGTTATATTGAAAGTATAAAATTTTTTAATAAAATTATTACTAAATGAGATATGTAATTATTAAATTATTTAAAATATAATGAATACTAATGATTCAATGCAATTTTTTAAATTTTTAGGCATTGCCTATGATTACACTCATAGTTGGAAGGCATAACAATTTGGAAAAATGTAATATTATATCTCTCAGTGAAGTAGTTAGTTCTGAAAATCATGTTGAATTTGAAGTTAGTCCTCGTAAGAATATAAAACCAGGAGAACCAAAATGGGCTAACTATATTAAAGGATGTGTTACAAATTTTATTTGTCAGTTTATTTATTATTTGGATTCTTAGCAAATGTAATAAAACATGTATATTGTATAGTTTACTTAAAATGCTAATTTTAGGTGATGTGCCATCTTTTAATGCTGTGATTGTATCCTCTGTACCAGTTGGTGCTGGTTTGAGTAGTTCAGCTGCCTTAGAAGTTGCTACTTACACATTTTTGGAAGCATTAACTGGTATAAAATCAGAAAAACCAGAGGATAAAGTATAATGACATGATATATTGTATTAATTTCAATTTTATTAAAGTAGAAAGATATAAAGGACATATTTTTCAGGCTCTAGCGTGTCAACGTGCTGAACATGATTTTGCTGGAGTTCCATGTGGTATTATGGATCAATTTATTTCTGTAATGGGCAAAGAAGGCTATGCTCTTCTTCTCGATTGCAGAAACCTTGGTACTAAACAAATACCTATATCACAAATAAACGATTACGTTTTTCTAATTACTAATTCTAATGCTCCTCACAAATTAAGTTCAAGTGCATATTGTAAACGTAGAGACTGTTGTTACGAAGCTGCAAAAATATTAAATAAAGGAAGTTTACGTGAAGTATCTATGAGCGATATTCAAAGTAGGAAAAGAAACACAATTACATAAAAAAGCAAAATTATTTATGTAACACTTACTTTTACATTGTACTTCATTTTTAGTTTTAAAGTCGCAAAATGTACCTGAAGAAATGATAAAACGAGCTCGTCATGTAATCACAGAAATTCAAAGAACAATTGAAGCTGTAAATGCTCTTGAAAAAAGAGATTTTAATAAATTTGGACAGTTAATGAACGAAAGTCATGATTCTTTGAAAAATGATTATGAAGTTTCTTCTATCGAGTTAGATACTTTGGTAACAGCAGCAAGAGAGATAAATGGTGTCTTAGGAAGTCGTTTAACTGGTGCCGGTTTTGGAGGATGTACAGTAACATTATTGAAAAAAGATGTAATTGATGAAGCAATTAATCACATAAAAGCCAAGTTAGATTTTTTTCTTTAAATGTTTCTACAACTCTTGATAACAATGAATATTGTTTATGAATATTATTTTATTACAGATATTCTGGACATGCAACATTTTATATAGCAACTCCTGCAATGGGTGCAAGAATTTTGGATATAAATTAAGTAATGTAATAACGGAAAGTAATTATCTAATTTTAATCATATTGTCAAAATAATTAAAAAAAATTTATAATTCAATTTTTTAGTTATATTAAACAAATTTGTTTAATTTTCTAAAAATGTTATATTGTTAGAAAAAATATATATATCTATTAATACAATTTTATTGAAATGAGCTTAAATGTTTGCTAAGACTTTTTGAAATACTGTGAAATATGTGTATCAAATATAATAAGATGTTATTTTTAAATAGCACATACAATAATACGTTTGTATAAAAAGTCATGTAAAATATTATTGACAGTGTACATGGATTGACGTCAATATATTCATTTATCTTTTTATATACACATCCTAATATATATTTATAATCCTATTATATGTAATGAAATAGTGTAATGTTTCGTATATTCACATGTTCTTATAATATTTATCATTTACACGTCGAATCTGTCGAGTTTTACCAAATATATAAATGCGCTTTCCCTGAAGCATAAGTATTAAAGTTATTTTACATGTGTATTATACACATCTTTAATAAGAATTTTTATTTTATTATACACATGTGAAACATCGTCGTATAGTTCAATATTGTATTGAAAGAGTTAATTTTCATTTATAACAGTGACTAAAATATATTGCTGCTCTTTATCATAATATTACCTATCATTCACTTTTGTGTTAATATAATACTAATAAAATAAAAAAGAAAAATATTTTTAAGACGAAATTTACAGAGGTCTAAATATAGTCAGTACCTGTTTATAGTAGCCGACGAAACATTTGAAAATTCTGAAAATAAATGAAAGTTTTATATAAATCAAATACATTTTTACATAAAATTGAACAAATCAAACATTCAATTGCTCACTGTATTATGTAAACGCGATTTTAATTACCTCTCAAACAGTCATTAAGTTCAAGTTCGCTAGAGCTACACTTTAAACCAGAAGGTTTTACACCCTTGAAAATTTCAATAATACTCGGTTTCAAATTATGGAAAATTAAAGGTTGTCCACGTTTAGAAAAATCTTCCGTCAAACTTTTAATTCCCTAAATAATAAATATGTCAATTATAGTATATAAATACGTCACGACAGTTAATCCGGTAATTTTGTAACTTGAATTTTGTTACAACGAATCAGATATTTTATAATGTACCTTTGCGGCAGTAAAATCCGCTGCTTGAATATGCGTAGAATCTATAACAACAGGTACTGCGGTCCCTTGCTTCGTACCTTGTTTACTAATTACAGCTCGCACATATTCAACACTTGGAAAAACGAGGCTTCTGTCCGGCGTTATGACAAGATATTCACAACCATTAATACTCTGAAATGAAAAATATCATATCATTAAACAAATAGCTAGAAATATTAAAAGTGAAATGAAATTGAAATATTTTCACATCCTTTCTATTTATATTAAGATTTTACTTTTAGACAGAGAAGATATGTTAACAAGTACATTGTAATACGAAAACGTTCTTACAGTATCTTTATGAACTCTTAACGAGGGTCTTGCTGAAGCGTAAAGTAGGAACAGAACATTTATACCGATACCAATCACTATACCTAGCTCAAGTCTTATAAAAAGACAGCATAAAAATGTAACCACTGCTGGTATGAGATCAATCTCTGAAAAAAAAACGATGTGTCACGTTAATTTAATCTTTATACAGCGTGGTACTTTTATGTTTTATAAAATATTAAAACTATTTACAATATTTGTTCATGTTGTTAATTTTAATTACTTATTAAAAGTCTGTTTCAATTAATACAAAGATGTAAGAATTGAAAGTGTAAGAACGTACTTTTTGTTCGCCATATAGGCTTGATCACGTGTAATTCCACCATAAAGATGACCGCAACAATGATGATTGCAGCAAGGGCGGCGTTAGGAACAAAGTATAAATACGGGGTGAGGAACTGAAGCGATACAAGTACTAAGAGACCGGTATAAACACCGCCGAGAGTTGTTTTTACTCCAGACGAGTGGTTTACTGCACCTCGGCTAAGTCCACCGCTGACGGGAATCGAAGAAACGAAAGCCGAAACAACGTTGCACACGCCCAAAGCTAACATTTCTTGAGTTGCATCGATTGGTTTACCTTCGTCTATAAAGAAAGAAAAAAAAAAAAAAAAAAAAAAAGAATGTTAAGATCAAAATTTGTGAATTGTATTACATTAAGTTTGTAATTATAATCATTGGAAACAAATCCTGTGCTTCTGGCAAGTGACAAATCTGAGTAATGAGTCACTTTTGAAAATAGCCCCGATATATTCACATTTAAAATTCAAATATTTTGCACACGTACAGAGAAAGTTTACTGAAACGAATTCTTGTGACATAGTAAGAGTCATAAAAAGAAAAAAAAAAGATTTAATCTCCACTGTATTGAGGTAAGATTTGGTCTGATTAAATTCAATAATTTTCTATTTTTACTAAATCTTCCTCTGAATAGCGTAGAAAAATTTTATTCAGAGAAAAAAAATGAATTGTGTGTGTAGTTGGTGAGAATGGTGTGAGACTTACTGAAGACTTTGGCAATAGAGATGGTCTCCAAGAGACTCAACAGAGGAATGACTAGACATCCAGAGCCAAGGGCTGAAACCATGTCGACGAAGTTGTAAGTTTCGTTCTTGTAATAAGTTTGAAACGGTGGCAATTGAAATTCCGGAAGTCCTTGTTTAACGTGGCCGGTCAGTTTAACAGGTGAGGAACCCAAGTGACTCTCAAGAAGCCAACAGATAACACCGGAAACAAGAACCACGAGAATGTTTCGTCCCGTGGACAACAACCAACATGTTTTTTGCATAATTATTTGTGCCTTTGATGATATTTTCGCAGCTTTTTGCATAAACGGTATGTCTTTGATTTTCTGGAAAGAAAATCATACACTTGTTCACTAAATTTTAACAAATGTAAATTGTTAGAAATGGAAGTATAAAGATACAAGATTTCAGTAATCAAAATTCGTGAATAATTTCGAATCGTGCGTATAAATTTTTTCTTTATCAATAAATGTGTAATGCCATACAGCGTACGCACGTGAAGTCACGTTTTCGATTAATGTTATTAAAGAAATGTCGAGCGTCCATTTATCTAATGATATTGTATATCTATATATAAACTACTATACACAATCGTAAGGAATTAATTTATGAATAAAATGATTCGACCATGCAGAAAATGCGAAGAAAAATGAATCTACTTTGGTGCTCACTTGAAGAATTACTTTTACGAAGATTAACTTGTGTTACTTTCCAATCAGATGACACTAACTCTGAGAAGAAGAAGGACGATTATACAAGTGATGCCCAGTACAGTGTCCCAGAGTTTCGTTTCCCCAATTTTCTCGATTATATTGTGCCATACTTCGAGGAATTTACTGCCGCTGATACTAATGCCTAGAATATCTTTCACTTGGCTAGTAGCGATGATGATTGCTGCCGCTGATGTGAAACCAACAGAAACTGGTCCCGATATAAAGTCCAACAGAAAACCTAATGACGAAAGAAGATGCGTAAAAAAATATAACTAGACTGCGGGAGATTATAGACGAGTATAGGGAGTTTTGTCAGATATATTATTTATAAAGCTTAATGTAGCAAAAAGTTTTCAAAAGTTTGCCACGTTTCAATTGAGAAAAGATCGATAATTCAATTACCTAAATGTAAGATCCCCATCAGAAAACAGATGCAGCCAGAGATGAAGGTTAAAAGAACCGCAAAGTCAGGTCCTAAGTTAGATTTCTGTAATGTTTCTCTTATCAATATCGCGATGATCGCAGTCGGTCCAACTGGAACGTCTTTGCAGGATCCAAAGATTGTATATATAAAGGATGCCATGAAAGATGAATATAGACCATACTGTGAAAGAAGAAAATTATAATTAGATATACATATTCCAATACAGTTTCATACAACTTTTCGTCCAAAGAAATTTATCATGCTGTTACAAAGAATTTTTAGTTCTTACAGAGTAATAAAAATATGTAAGTTTTTATTTCTCTCTCTCTTTTTTTTTAATTTGCTTTAATGTAATTTAGAAAGATATTTTACACGTCAAAAAAATATACATACATACATACATATATATATTATTTTAATCATATATATATTATATTAAGAAGTAACAATACGATATCAAGTTGCAATAAATTTATTAAAAGGAAACTTTTCAAGAAAGTGAACGAATAAATTTTCTTACCTGTAAAGGAAGTCCCGCGACATTCGCATAAGCTATCGCCTGCGGTATAACGGTAAGGCCTACGGTAATACCGGCAACGAGATCACATATTATGTAGTCTTTGCGATACTTTGGTAACCAGGCTGCTATAGGTACCCTTTTATAAAATAATTTTTTCGTGCAGGATCTTTTGATTCGTTGGCAGAGCCGCTTCCTTTCCATAGAGCATAACAGACTCTTTTCACGATTCTGTGAAACTGAAACAAATGCATATATATTAGCGTACAATGAAAAAACAAGGATATAAAATATAAATATTTTCTATGGCAGTGTTCCTTTTTAGAAATATCTTTTGAAAAAATTTTCATGAAAATTTCATAGGAATACTGTGTCGTTTCATGTGACGCGAAATTTTTCAAACAGAGCAATGATCTCTGCAAATAGAGTAGCGACACAATTGTCGCACAATTAGCTAAAACATGTTAATCGCGATCAAGCTTAGAATTGAGCTTAGAAAGGAATCGTCGATACGTGCGCGGAATTTTCGGAATCGGACGTACCGATTCTTCGGATCGCGTGACCAACGTGTACAAACAGCGAGTTTAGAAAGTAACTACGGGCGGGACCAAAGGAAAAATAAGGAAAAATCACAAGGCATCTACACATTGAGATTACTATAATGCATGCACAAGCGTACACGTTGCCGCGATTACCGGATAACTGACGATAACTGCATCCAAAAGTGAAGTTAGGACAGGTTTAACTGGTTTTGCATAGCAGCACGTGATGCTAGCTAAGGATAAACAGTTCTAAAAAAATTGATTCCCATACAAATGACGTTAATATCGCACCGGATTGACAATTTTCGGTTTGTTTTCGTTTTTAATTTCCAATGGGCTTTTTTCCCTCGAGAAAAAGGAAATCAAACGATTAAAAAAGTACGAATCTCTTCACTATCATGCAACAGGTGGCAAAGTAGGGATACTATTTTATTTCCGAAAATCGTCAAAATTCAGACGTTTCTGAAAACGTTAGAGAAACTTTTTCCACGATCTTGGAGATGGAAGTCTCCACGATTAGTTGAATAAAATGGTGGAAAAAAAATCCAAGGGAAAATCTGAAAAAATCTTCAGAAGCGTGACGAATCGTCTAAGCATGAGAAAAAGAATTTGCCAACATCTCTTAGAGACGTTTGGATTTCGATAACTCTTGAGAGTAGAAGTATTCTCATCCGCTGCACGATGTAAAAACATTTTCGAGAAGAAGAGAAAAGAGAAGAAACGAACTCTGAACCGTCGAAATAAAAGCTTTACGATTTGAAGGTGAAACCGACTTTCGGTTTGTTATATAATTTTTGCTTATGAAATTGTAACACTTCATAAGCATCGACAATTTTTCCTCACGGTTTGGTCATCACGGCTCTTTATGCCGTGTGCTCTGTTTTCTTTCAAATAAAATAGAAAAAAATTCTATTTCAAATCGCACTTTCAATTTAACAACACGCCAGGCTTTCTCGAGAAGCAACAACTTTTGGTAAACCGACCATTAGCCTACGATTTATGGAATGCGATGACGTGATGATCTCTGAATTTATGGACATCATCTTCGAATATAGATACACATACATCCTCTTTCGTGACAAGATAACTGGTACGTGAGTTCTTTAATACACGAGTTAACGTGAATTTCCTAATACGATCGCACGTGAAGAGGAAAGTACAGTTCATAAATTCCCAATGACGTCTACGCTTGGTACGCGAATAAATTAAGACAAAATACTAGCACCGATAACGATCAATCTGATAAATTATCTGCGGTAACAATCACTTTGCGCTTTAATATGCAAATCTTCCATCTGATACAATGCTTCAGTGAAACTGCAATTTTTTTTTTTCTATCAGATATACGATCTTGCTTTGTCTACTACTAACGGTGATTTTTTTCTTTTTTTTTTTTTTTTTTTTAAAGAAATTTATTAGATTTGTCAGCGACACTGTAATTGAATCGTATCGTATCATGTTTATCTCGAATCAGTGCGTAGTGATTGACTTGGATGCAGGTGAAGATTACGAGATGAAAGTAAAATTTGCCTAGCCCTCTTCAGAAAATATTTCATGAGAAATTGTAAAATGAAAGCAATAAAATCATTGTCAATTAGTTTGCATTATTATGCAATAATATGGAAATAAGACACACATAGAATTGTAAAACTAATAGTTTGTAACATTTAACCCACATTGCGTATCGACTACAACTTCAAAGAGCTGAATATGAATAAAATGTAAATCCATCATTGAGATAGTGCACTTGGAAAAAATGCAAATCGTAGTTGATTCAACCGAATCAATAATCCCAGACATACACACATATATATGTATACACACACACACATACACATACACGTGAAACAGTGTCAACGAAACTTTGCAAATAATTGGTCTTGCACGCGTCATTCCTTCACAAATGGCAACAAAGTGAGTCAGAAAATTCAAGGAATCGCCGTGCCTCGAGATAATTTCTCATTTTAATTTATACGCACGATGAATCAAATACATACGTCTGACCGACCGGCAAAAATATATGAAATATGAATATATTTCCTCTCCTCTCTCTCAATCTCTTTTTTTTTTAGAAAAATTCCCCTCTGACATTAACGACGTATTTTCCCACGTATAATATACATTTCCTGTTTCAAGTTTTGCGTATCGTCTAGAGTCTTTACGGGGAAATACCATAGAGATTATTTCGTTCTCGCAGTTTCTGCAGATCGCAGCATCATTCAATACATGGGGGTTTTCTTCGTCGAAGTGATAAGTCCGTAACAACGCAGTCGTCGTATCATTGAAAGAGAATTTTAACAGCTGGTGATGTCACGTTATATTATTATGCATTATTATTCTCGTCGGATCGTTGTTGATGTTTTTGCAGTTAATAACGAATAACTTTTTTCCCCAGTAACATGTGTTCGATCATTGGAATATTTAAACCTTCATGCAGGGTGGTACCATTTTCAGTAATTGAATTTTCTCAGTTTCTGTCAGTTTTTAAGCTTTACGGCGTAGAGATAACAACGATAAACAACTGTCGATTTTTCACACTGCTGTGGCTTCATAGATAAACATTATACAACGAATTGGTCTCGTTTAAAAGTGTAAAGTTTCGACTCTGAGTAGAAACCAAAGTTAATTCCTTCTCAAAGATGGTTTCACATCCTGTAGCGAATGGGATACTTTTATTCTCGAAAATTGTCAAAGATGAATAGATCTACCACGATCTAGAAGATCGAGATTTTCTTTACACAAAGATCCCCTAAAATTTGCTGTAATTTCTTTCATTAGCCATTTTATCCAACTTCGAACATTAAATGTTAGGATTTTTCGAATTTCTGTTCAAAGTTCAATAAATTGGCGAAAGAAAAGAAATCGTAGAAAGCAAGTTTTTTTGAAACGTTTGTTACAAAGGGATGATTTCAATCTTCAAAATGGTGGTTTCGATCGCGGAACAAATTTTCCAATGTTCTTAAAGACAATGTTTGAAGTTCGACAATTTTCAAGAATAAACACATTCTAAAGATCTCGAAGATCATGGAGGAAACTCCTAGCTTTGTACCTTGTTCAAGGTTCATTAGAAATATTTTTATGTTTTGGAATACACCGACAAAAATATTCTTATATTATACAATATACCGACAAAGTTCAGCTGTCGAATAATTCCAGGACACCTTGTACATTCGTCTATAGATTTCGAAATAATCGATCGTCGACAATTTGCTTCTCTGATGAAGATTCACGGTCTGTCGATTGGTGATTTGTCATATTATTTATTCACGTCTCTCATTACGTAAAATTTTTCTTCGATAACATTGAGATTACCCGGGGGCAACTGGTTCGTGATATTCGGGTTGGATATTGAATCCTAATTGAGACCGATCGAACTTGGGTATTAAAAGATGTTCTATCAATGAGGAAATATCAGAACGTTTATTTTCGAAAGAAAAGAACGAATATCTTTCTTCTTAGAAACAATGTTTTTTTTTTTTTTTTAGAAAAAACATTTAAAGTTATAAAAATAGATAGATGATGTTAATAATAAAGATGATAAATTAAAGTGAAAAAAAAGTGAAACAAAGTATTATTAATGATGTTACACGTAATAGAAATATCGAGGATCGTGCTATTCACAGTTTCAGTTCATAGTTATTTCTCAAGCAACTAATGACGAAAAAATCCTACAGCTTTGAACGAACGATATATAATAATTTGTTTCATTTACACAATTCCACGATTACTCAAGACTCAAATGCATTTGCAAATTGTATTCCCATTCAAATTAGACAACATTAAACTCAACGTCTCAAGTCGATATTTGCAAATGTGTTTTCTCTAATAATGTTTTCATGTTAAGAATCCTAGATAAAAATCTGTATTTATTATCTAGTCGATGAATAATTTCAGGGTTATGAATATTTATCAAATAATTACTCAACTCGTGAAAAATTCGGGGACCATTCGTCGATCATTATTCGACATACGTGATCGTGACGATTAATTTTAATTTTTTTGTGATTTCATATTTTTTAATTTTGTCATTTTATCACAGTTTTATTGCAATTTCTTATTTAAGTTTCTACGTACGTTTCACATAAAAATTTTTCATCTATTTCATGCTTCTTCCATTTCGAGGATTATCATTACAGGAAAAGAAATTCACATAATCGTGAAATATGTATATTTATGAATATTTCTAGGTAAAAGTAGTAAAATAGCTCGTAAAGTTATTATCATTAAAAATAATTAATATGAACTTATTGTGGTTAACAAGTATAAGTTTAACAGCAATACAATACTGCAGTTATTGATTATTTGAATAAAGCTGCTAAGATAAAAAGAAAAAATAAATAAAGTATTAAACATGATGAGTCTCGACATACAAAAGAAGCGGAACTAATCCAAATTAAGAATTTTCATGTGATCGAATTATCAATTATCATCGACGACTTAGTGTCCAGATAAGGGGTGAGAACACGATTTAAAGTGCGATCCAATTTTTTTTTTAAATTTCAAGATAAATTTCGTTTAATTTAAATCAATAAAAAGTGGAGCTGCTTCTTCATTGCAGCAGTAATTCGTAATTCTATTTTCTTATTTTCTATATGAAATAATCAATACGGTTTGTTTTTTAAAGGAATACTACTTACAAACGAAGAATGCAAAATAGAAATTTTCTTGTGATCGTATCATCGATCGACAACGAGCGTCTCGATAATCGAAAGTTTGATAATCGCAATAATAAGATAAAGATAGTCGCGAAGTTTTGATGAATTTAAAAATGTAATATGTAATGTAATGTAATCTAATGTGATATCACGTTCTAAAGAGTGACCCAATTTCTTTTTTTTTTTTTTTTTTTAATTTTGAGACGAACTTTATTTATCCAAATTAACGAAAAGTTGCTTCTTCGTCGCACGATTTCTCTTTGATCGCATTTGTATAAAACAATTGTAATTACTTTACTCTCTTAAGGATTGCTACACACAAATTGAACTTTGATGTGCGAATACAGTTAATTTAAATAACATTATCACTATGATCGACACAAGGTACACAACGCTTACCATCATTGTTCATATTTTTATCGTCCTGTGAGGAGACGCGAGCACTGCTAAGTCTGTTCTCCAAGTCATTGTTCTTGCTTCGAAGTGGATCTTCGAAGGCAGCATTGCTGTATCCGGTCAATCGGACTTGTTTCCCAGTCTCGAGATCGTATTCTTGGACATTGTACCTCGACATGTTTGTCGAGAGTTTTTCTTGTACAGAGAAGATTGCCTGCCAATTGTACGATTCCCAGTTTCGTGAGATATCGGACGATTTAAGGGAAGTAAAGTTGCATGTGCGACGCTCAATGAGCCTTCATTGTTCAGTTCGTACGCGTCGCGACCCTGAAAGACAAAGATAATAATTAATTCACGACTTCAGCTGTTGTACCGTTAGATTTTCTTTC